TTATTTACATTCTAAATGAAAAAAAAAAAAACATTTATATATAAATAAATGCAAAATAATACAAATTTAACAATACATACTATTTCTAGTATCCCCTGTAGCAACTTCAGCAAGGTATCGGTAGTAATCGCCTTTCATTTTGAGGTAAAATACTTTTGATTCAGCATTGCTGGCTTTGGGAATCAAATATTTGTCCAGAAGACCCTATAAATGATAAAAAAGATTTAAGTTAACTTATGATTTCTTCTTTTGGATTTCTAATTGTTTAGTTGTCCTATCAGACAACTAAAATTATGTCTTCATAAAATTCAGAAGAACGAAAGTTTTTTCACTTAACATCATACTTTATAATTGTTACAAAATCAAATTTTAAAAATATATCAGTAACAGCAAATTGATTAACTGTTAACAGCATTTAGGATATCGTATTTTAAAAATTCTTCACCATAGTTAAGAAAAAAATTATTTAAATGTATCCAAAACATATTAATGTTGCTTAATGCAAAATGTGGTTTTACTAAATGTAAATCTAGACTAATTTAATGCAAGTACAACTTACCAAAACGTCGTAACAAATTTCTCTGAGTTCCTTTTCTACTTTTTCTCGATATTCTTTGGCCATCTGCTGTTTACGTTCTGAGCCCTCAGTCTTTTGTTCAATTGATGAAATTACCCTCCATGATGATCTCCTGGCACCTACTACATTTTTATATGCAACAGAGAGTAAATTTCTTTCTTCATTGCTGAGTTCCACTCCCGTTTCTGTTACAGATTTCATAGCTGAAGCCATGTCATCATAACGCTCCGCTTGCTCAGCTAACTTTGCCCTCTGAACTAATTCTTCCTTGTCAACTTGAGACATTGTAGTAGTAGTAATAGTAGATAGATTCTATTTTTATGAAAGAAGGAGTTGATTAATAATCTTATGTATGACTCACGCTAANTCGTTTTTGTTTTTATGGGTCTAACAAATTTTTTTTCTTTCAATTTTTGGCAACGAATTCAATTTTTTATTAATGTACTAATTTTCAGTATTTATTTCTTATTGTGCGGACACCTTTCTATTCACACTCTGTACAGGTTTGTGCTTTTAACTTTCAAAACGTTTTTATTTGACTACAGCGCAAGTTCGTCAGATATGAGTAATTTGTTACTTGCCTATAATTATTATTTCTTTAAATTATTTAGTTACGTTTTGACAAAGGTTTGTTGATGATTAAAGGGTGTTATTTCGTGTGTTACGGTTAAGAGTATTGTAGTTTGGTTTGATGTAGGTAAACGTTTTATTTATTAACCAGAAGAAGTGGGTGGAATTAAAATTTGGAATAATAAATCGTTTAAGGTAAATTGTTTTATTTTATTTATTATAACAACTGTCATTATGCTGTTAATTATGTTAATTTATTAAACAAGTGTGCCATTGTTTTAAAACATAATAACAAAAACGACGTGATATTTGGAGATATCTCAGGAAAAAGAATTTTTTTTTNGACAAAGGGACCTAACAAAATTACCATGGATATTTAAAATGCAAACAAAATTAAGAACCTGGTTGTATGTTAAAAAACAAAGTTTATAATGACAATAGACGATAAACCGAACTCTACCAATTTCGAAATTTATTTTAAAACACATTTTGTACACTCATTTAGAGTTTTATTTAAAATCTCATTTTAACATAATTATAGGACAAAAACGCTAGAATAGAACACCCAATATGCAACCTGTACACAAACGTGTATATTATGTTGCATACCGTGATGTAGTGAATTTCTGTCGGTGTTATTATCTTTTAAAATTTGTCACGGTAATTTGCGTTTATCCAAAGATAATACCGTACGATATTTATTTGCCAACGTTTATATGATTAAGTTGGAAGTATTTGCAGTTACGTCTTCGTGAATCATTATTATATCAAACAATAATTAGAATGAAACACTTACAATAGTTCAACAATTTAAATATTTTTTAAGTTGTTGGTTCATCCTTATGATGTCCTGAAAAGGCGAAATAAATATTGAATAAAAAGCAAAATATTCCATGTGTTTAATTCTAATTACGATATATTAATGGAAAATACTGTTTTGATTGCTTTGCATAAGTTAAAAGTTTAATAACGGTTTAATATTTGGTTTGTACCGCAAAAAATATAAATAAATACCTAAAGGTCATAAGCTGCTATTGATTACTAAAAAGCAGATTTACTTAAAAGGATAATTAAAATATGTATTTGCAATACGTGGCTTTTAATTTATGTTTAAACCAATCTTAAATAATAGATAATTTCAATAGATATAAATTAATTCATTACGAAATAGTGCAGATGGATAGAACAAAAACTTTTTTGTTAACTTTTATAATTACTGTTTCTATTAAAAAAAAACAAGTTGGCGTTATTCTAATTCTTAATGTAATTAATTCGCTTTTTCTCTTTCTTTACAATTTGTAGTGAACAGTGAGCACATTAGAAAATTAATGCAGTTAATCAAGGTAAGATTTAGATGTTTAGTGAAACGTATTTTAGTACATAAAATTAGTCACAGTTTTTCCAAATTTTCTCTGACCTCATTCCTGTGTAATCTGTTTCAGATCAATTAGTACTCAAAAATTGTTAGCATCACTAAATTTTGCGAACATTTCTGCTTTTTTTTTTATTTCTTATACGAGATTTCAAAATTACAACTATTTTACACATTTTTTTACGAATTTTTATCTTTTGGAAGTATTAGGATAATCGTTAACATTTAACTGGGCGAAAAATTAGGAGCAATCGTTTTTGTTTTTATGGGTCTAACAAATTTTTTTTCTTTCAATTTTTGGCAACGAATTCAATTTTTTATTAATGTACTAATTTTCAGTATTTATTTCTTATTGTGCGGACACCTTTCTATTCACACTCTGTACAGGTTTGTGCTTTTAACTTTCAAAACGTTTTTATTTGACTACAGCGCAAGTTCGTCAGATATGAGTAATTTGTTACTTGCCTATAATTATTATTTCTTTAAATTATTTAGTTACGTTTTGACAAAGGTTTGTTGATGAT